AAAAAAAAAAAAAAAAACTAGCCCCTAATATCTACTTTTTCACATTAATGACAGGCCCTGAGAGCAAAGTTGTACATTTAATTTGAGTAACATTTCTACATTTTTCTCTTTTTAATGAGTTTCTGCTATTAAAACTTTTTTATTATTATTTTAATATGCTTTTTAAAAATATCACTGGAATGGGCGGCCCCTGTGGCTCAGTGAGTAGGGCATGGGCCCCATATACCGAGGATGGCAGCTTGCCAGGCATTGTGGCGGGCGCCTGTAGTCCCAGCTACTTGGGAGGCTGAGGCTACAGAATCACCTAAGCCTAAGAGCTGGAGGTTGCTGTGAGCTGTGATGCCACAGCACTCTACAAGGGCGACAAAATGAGACTCTTGTCTACAAAAAAATCACTGGAATGCTCTGAGCAAGAGAACAACATCCTCACACTGTCTGACTATATTTCCAATATGTGAAATTGGAAATTTCACATATTGGAAATGTGAAGGCATGTTCAAGTAAACAGATAATACCATTATGAAAGATTCAGAGACTGCTATAAAATCTCTGAAAAAAAATGTCAGTAATATAATTTTGTGACTACCTTCTACTTCAAATCAACATAGCTTATAACAATCAACTTTCCAATTAGTTAATATACAACCACTATGTGTTTTTTTAGAAAATTAATTCAGGGCCCAAAGTGGCAGGGGCCAAATTTTCCAATAATTCCTTTCTAAATGTTCTATGATTAACACAGACTAATCATCTAGACTGGGAATTTACCCAGTCCCTTTGTTTCTTGGCGAGGTAATTATGCACTTAATAATACAGACCCATACATTTCATTTACCTCAGTCTGTGAACCACTGTTCAACCCATTAGAGAGAGGGTAGTTTTGGTAAAAGCTATGCCAATTAAATAAAAAACTGAGCTAATCCCAGTTACTTGGGAGAGTAAGATATCAGTATCCCTGAAGCCCAGGAGTCTGAGATTAGCCAGGATAACACAACAAGATCTCAAGAAAAAAACAAAAGAAAACAGAAATCATTCAAAACTATTTCTTTTATACATATAACATAAAAATATTATACTTTAATATTAATTTGCTCCTTAGTAATATAGGTAAAATAAAATCTTAAGCATAAATTCATATTGTAAGGATATTACATTTATGAATCTTAAATACAATATTGTAGGAAATCATTACTAAAATAAAAACCACTTGCCCACCAGAATCGAAAAAGCTTTTTCTGCCATTCTAAACAAATTATTGTTTAGTTGCATACATTATTATTTATATTACTTTAACTGGACTTTAGTAACTAAACTGTCTTTTTAGGGCACAAAACTGAATGTTTACCTTTTAAACACTTAAAATTCCATTTCTCTGATCTAGCCAAAATTATTAGCTTTTCCATTAACAAAATGTAGTAAATTGTTTATTTCTTTTTAATACTTGAAAAGACAGAGATGGCTTATCAAAACTTAACAGATGGTCAATTACATAAATAGAAACTTTTTCAAAACAGTAAAGGATTTGCACACATATTTTGCCAAATTCTATTTGCTGGAGTGCTGGAACAAATTTTTACTTCCACAAAAGATGATGTAACCTTGTAGAAATTTCTCAAAATAAGGATACACGTATTTGAAATTCCCTTCTGAATATCCCAAAATACAGATGTTCCCAAACCAAAAGAGATTAAATTAATACCAGAGCACAAATTTTCTTCCATTTTGCATTTGAGATGACTTTTTCTTGTAAATTGTCTTATAATTTAAAAGGGAACCATAAATTATTTATTTCATTTGAGGGAGTCTTCAAATTCAGATTTATAGAGATGGGTAGAAAATGTCTTGACATAGCTATTTAATTCTCAAAACAGTAAAAATATTTTATTTATTAAAATATAAAATATTCTACATATTTAAAGGGGCAAATTATTTAACAGTAAAGATTTGTCTCTCAATATATATTTTAAAATATGTTTTTAAAAGGGTTGCTGAGCAATTTTCTCTAAAAGACTAAAGTCACTGTTCTAAATTCCATTTTCAGTAGGTTGTTTTAAACGCACACACACACAGAGATACACAAATATTGCATACTTTGCCAAGACTGAGTGAATTTATTCTGGTTTTTCTCACAGTGTTCCAATGCTTCTAATACTACTGGCTAAATGCCTCTGTAGCTATTTATAACGTATACCACAAAACATAAAGTATGGTTGTGCTTCTAACAGCTATAAAACCAGAATATTTAAAAAATAAGTTTGAAATGTTTAGAAATGTTTAGTTTCTAATAAAAATAAGTTTTGTAAATAAATAACTTTCCAACAGTTTTCTGATTTGCTGTCAATAGTCTATCAACTCTAAGCTGCGCACGATGGCCCATGCCTGTAACCCTAGCACTCAGAGAGGCTGAGGCAAGAGGATCAGTTGAGCTCAGGAGTTTGAGACCAGCCTGAGCAAGAGCAAGACCCCATCTCTACTAAAAATTAAAAAAAAAAAAAAAGTCTATTGACTCTGTGAGCTGGATATTTCTTCAAAAGGTTCAAATAGGAAATTTCTCTAAAATGTCTTCTAAAACACTGAATTCATGAAATTTCGTTTCGTATGCTTCCTAAAAGCATCGAAATCTGGAGAACTGAGATTCTTATGAACTGTATGACAGTAAAAATGTCTAAAAGCTTGCAATAATCTGATAAAATATTTAACAGCTTAAGTTTATCTTTTTTTAAATAAGGTGTTTATTTTTGCAGGCATGAATAAATTTCTATAGTAGAATATAAAATTAGCTTTACTTAAAATTAGGGTTAATTACAATGTTCAGAAGTAGTGTAAATCATAACTCAAAATATGTCTATTCAAACTAGCTTCTGCAAATTCTTACCATCTATTAGTGCTCCTTAAGGATAATCGGTCCTATGATTAAAATCAAAATCATATTATGACAAATTTAAATTTTCTTCGTGTCTTCTGACAAGGTTCAGGGCACTCTACCCCAAAATATGGCACCTTAGCATTTGAGGAAACAGCAGAGCCATAAAAGCCTTCTCTGATCTGCCTCTAAAATTAAGTTATAACACTTTCAGTCCAGAAATATCATCCCTTTACCTAGAGGAAAGAAATCTCTTTATCCTCACAGAGTCATCAAGAAGTATGTGAACAAACAGGCCTTGCTAAGTGCCCTTCAGTTTATTACCAGTACATTATATTCCAACCAATAGTTTTGTCTGGCTGTCCACTTTTCATGAAACCTAGCATAAAATTACAGAGGTTTCTTTGGGCCATTTCTAAAGGCAACTATGTCATGTAAAATTAACAGTAAATAAATGTACATGCTTTTCTCTTGTTAATCTTTTGTTATAGGAGTCCTAGCCATGAACCTAGTGATGGACGAGGAAAAAAATCTCTTCTCTCCCATACTTACTGGGGCAAAAGGGCAGGTAGTTGTATATAAGGACAGTTAGAAAACCAGGAATGTATGTTATTACAATTACATATACATTAATCTAGATTTAAACAATTACTACCAAAAAGTAAAAATATATTAAAACTCTTCTAATGAGATAAATTTATTTCTAATTAGTTATTACACCTGTGGGTAAACATTACTTATTTTTACAATAAGACAGAATTTAGCATAAAGATATTTCTATTTTCATGAGAGGTGAGAGTTCGGTTGGAATAATGTCACTCAATTCTGTAAGCTCATTAGAAGTTATATACCTAAACACAGTAACCTATTTTTAAAAATTATTTTAGTGATCTATCAACTAATAACCTAATTAGATTCTCTTTAAACATTCTTAAAAGCAAGAAATTTGAAACTGAAGGACTTGCAAAGGTTTTTGTTTGTATGTTTGTTTTGAGCACTTTGTCACCCTTGGTAGAGTGCCATGGTGTCACAGCTCACAGCAACCTCAAACTCTTGGGCTTAAGTGGTTCTCTTGCCTCAGCCTCCCAAGTAGTTGGGACTACAGGTGCCCACCACAACGCCCAGCTATTTTTTTGTTGTAGTCGTTACTGTTGTTTAGCAGGCCCAGGCTGGGTTCAAACCCACCAGCCCCGGCATATGTGGCCGGCGCCTAACCACTGGGTACAGGCGCTGAGCCTTGCAAAGGTTTTGTTATGTAGTCACTCAACGCATTTACCTTTTCAATACCTACAGATATAAGAAGACCCAAAGATTTTTTAAAACCCCTACTTTACTAGAGTCCAAATTAAGCCTTTTTCTACAAAAGGTCTTCAAGAAATTCTGACACTTTAATAAGAGAACATAACCTACTTAGGTAGAATTTGGGTAACGTCATGAGGCATTTTGTAATTTACTAAGTTACTCTGGAAAACCTCCATTAAATGCCCTATAACTATATCTGTTTATTAGTCCATCATGAAAATTCAAGCACAGATATCTTCATTTATCTATGCCTAATCTAGGTCTTAAAAATCATATGATGGGCTTTGTGAAAATTAGATTCCCAAGAAAGAAAATGGTCCAAATATGACTAAAGTTCTACCCATTACTCCCTTACCTCTTAGATACTCTGTACTGTGCTGTGGTCAATTTTCCAGTCTCAGGGTCATGTACTGTAGCTCGGCTCAGCTACAAAAAAAGAGAAAGGACAAGGACTTACTCTAGTAGCAGGCAATTTTGAGATTTGTTTGTTTTGTTTTGCCAAGCCACAGGTGATTGGAAGGGTTCAGATTGGTCTGGATGGTAATGGTTTCAAATCCGCAAAAAAAAAAAAAAAAAACATTTAGAAAGGTGGCAATAAGAACAGCCACTTCCAAATCAAGAGAAATGGGTGACCAATTTTTGTTATAGATTTATTGTCCTTTCACTTTTTTTTTTTTTTAAATCATTTGAAGCTGTATGTAAATGATTTATAGCACTGGGTTTCACAGGAGCTTTCTCAGATCTAGAAGCTTAATGTTCTTTAAATACTTTAGAAAAAAATTAGTCCCCCCAAAATTCATTTTTTAAAACTCTAACTGCAAAAATCCATTTTTAAATCTCTCTGGCAAAGCAAAAGGCAACTAAGTTCACAAGTAATTTCTGGAAGACTGAGTTCAGAGCATATCTCTATTATTTTCATTGCCAAGTTTTTTGAGTCAGTGAGTTTAATCAAATAAAATACTCCAATAAGAGGAATGCAGACTACTTTGTAATGACAAGGGTATTTTATAAGACATATGAACAAATGCCAACACAATCACCATGAAGGATGATGTGACTCACTGCAACATTTATGAATGGAAGACAAATGCAGAAGCAAGAGTAACCAGGCTGCTTCTTTGTATTTCCCCATTTGGCAACAAAAGGGGAAAAGAAAACAAGTATCAATCAGGCCATTTCCTGAATATCTGATACCTGATCTGAATAAAGATACAAAGCATATTATTCCTCTAAAAATAAAATAAAAATAACATACCAATTAAAGATTAAAAACAGAACTTCTAGTTAAAGGGAAAGACCTGTGAAACACAAAGCAGTTTATTCATGCGTTCCCGTTTATATACAGAGTGGTGGTGACTTGAGCTGGAGACTGAAAATGACCTACTTCCCTTAAATGAATAATAGTTCCTGCAGGATGTACAAAACACTCATTAGAGGGCAAAATATGCAGCATACACATCTCTTACCTTTTACTAATTCTGTAATGTACCGTCTCCAAGTCTCCTGTTATTGGGTTTGAAATGGTGGCTCGCCTCAGCTGTGAAGCCAACCATCAAAATAGTTGCATTACAAGACAAAAACTTAGTCACATTTATCCAACCAGACAGAATTCTGGGGTGGGGGTGGGGGTTTGTTGTTGTTGTTGTTTTACAAAGGAGGATGAAAATAGAAAATAACTATATTCTTCCAGTCACCTTGTGCTGAGCCTTGAAAGCCAGTGGTTTTTTAGAGTTTTGTATTTTTAAAAAATTACTTTGTTTTGCATTTATGCACAAATGGAAGAGCTTAGAAATTAAATTTCTTTCAATGGTTAGAGGATAGAACATAAAAAAAGGAAAAATATCTAAAATTTGAAGTCTAATTTATAGTTGTAAGAGTGGCTATTTGAGGTTAATGATCCATTCCAAAAAGTTTGATTTTAATTTTCTTTTTTGTGATGAAATTGTTTGCAAAGGTTAATGTTGTTTAAAATTCATTTTAAGATTAATCTTCTCTTCTTTCAAGATAGTCTACTCAGTAAAATACAGTGAAATAATCTTGGACTGAGTACAAAGGCAGACAAAAAATAACTCATAAATGTTAAAAATGGTTAAGAAAAAGATAACAGGATAGATAATAATTTCAAACTTTTAAAAAAAAAGAAATAGCATGAAATTTTATGGCCATTAAAATTATTGATTAAC